ACTCTGTCTCTGGTGAATCCTCTCACCTCCCCTGCACCTCTGACCTGTACCCCAGTTCTGTATGTATAAATAAATAAATCTTTTTTTTAAAAGTGTATTCTGTTGTTTCCTATCTCAAACTAGAAACTCTAACCAGTGCCCAAATGAAATTCTAGGTGGTGCTAGATATTATCTCTCCACACTGAGGTGGAACAGGCAGAAATGAGCTTAAAGCCAGTGTGAGGATTTAGTTGACCCACAAAGAAGTTGTCTCCCTAGAGACAAGAAAGTATAGCTGAACATTGGAAGATAAGCCACACACACATGACTTTCAAAAAATAAATAAATTCCCTGCTTGCTGAAATATATGTATTAGGTCTGGCCTCTACATGATACTCACCTGGGAAACCTTTTAAAAATAACAGCTGAAAAAAAAATACCAGATTCTGCTTCAGCAGGATTAACATAAGGCCTACTTATCTGTAGTTTTAATAACTTACTGGCAGATAGATTCTCAAGTTTCGTCCAGCCATGAAATCCTAGTTACACTCAAGTATAACATAACATGAAAGAACTAGTCTTATCCGAACAATAAAACTGAAGTCATCACATGGGTCACGGGACACTCAACGTCACACATGAACATGTGATATCAAACAGGTGGCAAACTCCTGAACAGTGGGGTTTGGGGTCTCCTTTTCAATATCCCCTCTGCCTTACCAGTATCTTCCCACAACACATGCATGAGAAGATACAACAGATAAATAATTCCTGACTGATCAAATTGCATCTTGAACAAAACCCAATTGCTATTGGAAATGCTGGCAATTTACAGAGAGGCTGGCTACGTGCTTCATGAAAAGAAAGAAACCTTTTCTAGGTCATATTCCTAATGTTCCAAGAGAGAACTGGGTACAGATGGCTGGCACAAAGAAACCTCTGCGGAAGGGGTCTCAGGGGGTCTCATCTTAAGGGGAGCTGCTCCCCAAACACTCAAGTCCAGCAGCATCTGCCATACCTCATGAGAGATGTCTGAGGCCCACACCCGCAAGCTGGTGCCACCGGTCTCCCCGTTTCTTCTCCCCATTTTGTCGGAGATGGTCCTTTGCTTCCTCAAAATCCTATACAGGTTGTGGGACAGGCACACGGAAAGGCACAGCATTTATTTCAAAGAAAGCATCAGCTGCGGCGCCCCATCTAAAGGAGGTGAAGAAACTGCTTTGGAAGCAAGGGAAGCATCTGGGAAGGCAGGCTGCGCACAGCAACAGGTAGCCAGCCCCATGCAGAGAGGGCCCAGCCAGGGGGAAGATCTGAGGGAAGATCTGGCTGAGGGAAGATCTGGCTGAGGGAAGATCTGGCTGAGGGAAGATCTGGCTGAGGGAAGATTTGGCTGAGGGAAGATTCCTCGGGTGAGAAAGGAGACAGATACAGGATAACAACCTGGAGTAAACACGAGGAACTCTTGAGAACTTTCTGTCATCATCTTTCAAAACCGGGGCTCCTTTGGCCTACGGGTGAACCCCGGGGGGCCGCGCCCTAGACACTTCAGAGACATTAAGAGGCCCTCAGGGGCAAACCTGCTTTCCAGACCAAACTCCGTGCGCCCCACTTTGAGGTAAGCTGCTCCGTGGGATCCCTGGCACAAAGGATAAGCTGCGCCTCAGCGAGCGATAGTGCTCAAGTTTACAACTGATTATGTCCTAGGCGGGAGGTGGTGCTCAGGGAGGGGGAACCGGGCTGGTTCTGGGGGGCCCGTGAGGGGGGTCGGCGCGTCTTACCCCGCGGCCCCCGCGTCGTCGTCGCTGTGGTCCCCGAGTGCGCCCCGAGGCCC